AAAAAGTTTATAAAAAATAAAATATTTTAAAAAATTGAAAAAATAAAAATAACAAACATTTTCGGTATCAGCCTGACTTTTTTTATTTCGGTTTTGTTTATAAAATTTCCATTTCGTTGCATCTCTAATATATATATATATATATATAGTGTGGGTTCCTGAAGCTGGGTCCCAGCATATTGTGCCTGCTCACAGTTAATAGGAGCACAGGGCCATTGCAGCAATGGCTACTTCCTGCCATGCAACCGAAGAGGCGCACCCGCGTGCAGAACACGACCATGAAGACCATCAGGCGTAGAGAGCCCAAAGGCGATACCTTGTCTCTAAGACAGTGCCTCTAATCAGGTCACTTGGCCCGCCTCAGGGAGAGCTCATGAACTTTCTAGAGTTGAAGACCCTGCGACACATCGGTAGTTACAATGGAGATGGTCAAAATACCGAATCCCAGAAGGATCCCCTGACATAGCGGAGCTATATGTTCTGGGGAACCAGATGGAGGTCCCAAGTATGGTGACACCAGCAGGAGGAGCCCCTCCAAGGAAGGGGAAAGAATCCACCCCATTCACTCCAAGAGACTGATGGGTTGTGCCAGGGACTTCTTAGCTCAAAGAAACCTTCTAGATGTCTTGTCATGAAACCAGGCTCCCAGATAGAAAGGTGGCCGAAAAGGGAGACAATTTTGGGTAGGAGGGGAAATCTTTGACAGAAATGTAAAAAAAACAAAAAAAAAAACACCCAGTTTTTTTTTTAAAGTCCCCTTGCCCCCACATACACACACAAACATGCGTCGGTAGCGCCTATGTGTGAAAATGGCCATTGCGCCACATGTTACATATCACTGTGAACGTCGGCGTGAGGCAACCATTTTAGGGCCATTATTCACTATTAACACTAAACTGATGGCGCAGTAAAAGCTTTTAAAGCGTCGCCTATGGCCAATTTTGGGTATGGGTTTAAAGTTTGACATATTTGGTGTCTATTTACCCGATGCGACCCTTTCTTTTATATTTTACCAAAAATATGGGTAAGAATAAATGTTTAACATAGCATAGGGAAAACATTTTTTTTCTTGAAATTTATGGTACTTTTTTTCATTATAGGCCGGGTTCACACCTGGTATGGGCATGGTTCCCACCTGGGTGTATTTCAGCGCGTCGAAACGCGCTGAAAAACGCCCAAAGTACAAGAGCTTCTTTGGGGCGTATTTCCAAGCGTATTCATTAGGATACATCCGGATAGCCCTCTAAACGCGCGTTTCGTGGACCGCAAATCGCCGTAAAAACGCGCGGCACGAAACGCGCATATATCGAACGGCCAGGTGTGAACCCGGCCATATAGTAAAAAATAACCACCCCAGTGGTGATTATATACCAATAAAAGAAAGCTCTGTGTCCCCAAAAAATGTTAATATAAATTGCAAGGCTGTAGTCTGGTCATGCTGACTGGTGAGACACCCTAACATTTTTCAAGCCCTGCACAATAAATAAATATATAAGTTTAAAGGAGAACTATGGGGTTAAGGCTTTTCCCCATAGTTCTCCTTATGGTAACCGGAGGACACAAACTAGCGTCCTCCCGTCACACAAAGCTCAGTATACAGCGAGCTTTGGCTCGTGGTACACTGAGACGCCGCAGCTGAAGCGGATCCCGACAATTATGTCTGGATCCGCCCAGCTGCGTGACTGACAGCTAACTCTGCCTATCTAGAGGCAGAGCCAGCTGTACCCGCCCCCTCCCCTGTCCGTTCTGCCAGTCAGCGCAGGCGGATCGGAGCGGGGAGAATCCAGCCCCTCCCCTGTCACGGCAGAGAGCCGTGACAGGATCGAAAGGTGAGCGAACGCCGGTATGTGTTCGCTCACCTCCCGATCTACTGAGCCGACCTGTGACAGTCTCATTGTCACAGGTCGGCTAGAACTATGAGGTGAGTGAAAAGCACTCATCTCATAGTTCTCCTTTAAGATAAGACAGAAGCTTGGTGCTTCTTGGGCAAACTAACCGGCCCAAGTGGCTCCGTCGGCTTACGAAGTGAAGGGGGAGGAGCCTGGTGATGTTACAGACATCGACGTCACCGGACTCCTCCCCCCTTCCCTTTGTTAGCCGACGGAGCCACATGGGGAAGGGGGGGAGGAGTCCAGTGACGTCACCGAAATCTCCGTCGGGACTCTCTAAAGCCGGCGGAGAGGTGAGTCTTTTCATTTTCGATCAAAAGAATTTTAATCGATCAAAAAGTTTAACGATTAAATCGAGGAATTAATCGATAATTTCCCCAGCCCTAATATATATATATATATACACACACACACACACAAAAAGGTCAGTCAGTTTAACATGTAAATCTGTTTTATTTTTTTCTGAAAATAAACAAAAGATTGCATCTGAAAAAAAGCAATCTTAAAGTTAAACTCTCTGCAAACAGCTACATACAAACTTGGAATACATCCTGCATACATGTTGTCCTGCTGAAGGCTGTATTACTTCTCTTCAGCCAGTCTTGAGATTTACGCACCTAAGCATTGCCAGACAAATTGATACCTTTGTCTCCTGGATCAGCTTTGTTGTTTCCTGTATCATTTCTCCACCTCTAGCCTGGATCATGATTTGCAACACTGCCAATTTGGCCTTCCCCTTCACCAGCTGAGCAGTAGGTGTGTGTGTGTGTGTAGGTGTGTGTGTGTAGGTGTGTGTGTGTAGGTGTGTGAAGCACAAGACTGGATGAGCACAATCACGAATCACATCGATGTATTTTAAATGTGTATTTAAGCTGTTTGCCTGGAGTTCTAATAAAACTAACGAGGGGGCAATAGAACTGTCCCAAAAAAGACTATTAGGAAATCCAAAGCATGCCATATTTTTTTATCTTTTGGACTATTTGTGACTAGAGCACATGAAAGATTCTGGATCCTGCAAATATTGATCTTTAATATACTGGTTGCAGTGGCTTGAAATGGGCTGGATTGCCTACTATAGATTTTCTATGTCAGTAGCATACAACAACAATTTGCATTTCTGTACAGCTGTTTGCTGACTATAAGGGAAGAAAGGCGAGGTTAGCCATGCATCATAGTGCATATTTACTGCTCTCCTGTGGTGAGTGAAGGGATGAAGCAGAGTCCTTATGCTGTGTGTCAAATGTGGAAGGTGTCAGTTGTATGGTTTGCATATCTACAGAGGTGACGGGCCAGCTAGTACATCTTCAGCTGCTGGATATACATGTTCCAGCAGGTCTTGACAGCTCAGCAGCTGACCTTGTATACTCTTTGAATAGCAGAGAATGATGGGATTTGTAGTTCCACCGACGCTGAAGGTCTACTGATTGCCTATTGAGGATCTAGAGTATTAACCGTTGTACACAGGCAGTGCAATCACCACATGAGTCCGCCTTTGTAGTTGAACTTGAGCTTCAAGAGGTACTTCAGGTTCACCTGGGCAATGTCATACACAATATATCTGAAGAGACAGGTTAAGGTACAAACACATTCTGGCAGCAAGACAATAACTCTATAACCTATATCACAAAATGGAGTCACTAGTATTTGGGCGGTTACTCGTACTCACCCAAATGCTCTGATACCTTCCCTAATACCGAAACGTCCGGTCAGAGGAAAATTTCCTCTGATCAGCAGTGCCGTAGGGGAACATGGAGCCGGCTTCCCTGGCAATCAGGAAGCCAGGTGGCGCGTAATAACCCGCCTCCCTGATTGCTCAGGAAGCCGGCTCCATGCTGATTGGCTGGGAAGCCGGCTTCCTGGTCAATCCTCATCGAGACGGCCAAATAGCTGGCTACTTACTGATTGGCTGGGAAGATGGGTCATTACATGCCACCCAGCTTCCCGATTGCACGGGAAGCCGACTCTATGCCAGCTGAAGCACCGGTATCTGTATCAGCAAGTACCGACAGCAAAATACCGGAACTTAATACCAAAAAAAACGGGTATCGGTGCATCCCTACCCATCACTGATATCTCATAAGCATACGTTGAAGTCCATCTAAAGCCTAGTTTCTCTCCGCCCCCCCCCGATTGATAAAACACGCATTTCCAGTGCAGGTTGGCATGTTAAAGAAGAACTATGGGGTCAGTGTTTTTCCCCATAGTTCTCCTAAGAGTCACGGGAGGACACAAACTAGCGTCCTCCCGTCACCCAAAGCTCAGTATACCGGGAGCTACAGCTCGCAGTATACTGAGACTGCCGCAGCCGGGACGGTTCCCGGCATTACTGTTGAGATCCACCCAGCTGTATCTCCCTGCAGAGAGCGGCGACTGTCGGTCACAGATCCCTGCAGGGATTCCCCCCTCTCCGATCCTCCAGCGCTGACTTGAGGAACAGATGGGGGAGGGGGCAGGTACAGCTGGATCTGCCTCTAGATAGGCAGAGCCCTGTGTCACTCACGCAGCTGGGTGGATCTCGACAGTAATGTTGGGATCCGTCCCGGCTGCGGCGGTCTCAGTATACTGCGAGCTGTTACTCGCGATATACTGAGCTTTGGGTCACGGGAGGACGCTAGTATATGTCCTCCCGTGACCCTTAAGAGAACTATGGGTAAACCACTTACCCCATAGTTCTCTTAATTCTTGAAGTGCGGGGTTAGCCCGGGGTAAGTGTTAAGTTCTTCTTTAAGATTAGCAATAACTTAAATTTTGGAAAGTGGCACCCATTTATAAAACAGGACAGAATGTTCAGCAAAGAAAGTTATCAGGGCCATCTTCTGCATTGTAATTGATTTACAATTTCGCTTACTATAAAAACAATTAAATGTAAGCACATCACTTTAAAAAAATGCAATCATTTGTGGGGCAATTCACACCCCACAAATGTTTGCTGAAAATAAACCTCTTTAGCTTTGCCAGGTAGCAAAAAAATAAAATAAAATGTCCCCGATAGTATTTATGAAGCGCCCAGCACAGGGATATATGTAACAAAGACTCAATTGAGAACAAAGATTTCTTCTTGTAAGGAAAGCAGACAAGTCCAATGCAGTTTGTGCAATGAGCAGTACCAGCAGCGAGAAAGGATACTCATTATACAGTAGACCGGTGTCACTAATGTTGGTATTAACGCCTTTCCCCAGAGGAACGTCCACTCCATCAAGTTGTACAGTAGCAGCAGGATCAGGTGCAGTTCTGCCCAAACCTACATAACAGAAGAGAAAACAATACCTTAGCCAAAGACTGTTTTCCTGTACAATTTACAATCCGTAGCAGGAATTCATTCCACAGGTCTGACTCTACACATCTCTGTGCACAAGCTAACGGCTTAAAGCCCGTGGCACACTGCATGCAAAGCCGCATGGAGCAAAGCTGCGAGGCACAGATGTTCGCATGCAGTGTGTGAGCTGAGCACAGCCAAATGAAAGACTGCATCTTCATCCAAATCGGCTTGCGCGTAACAACCGAATAGTCTACGCATCCTAACACAGGTGTTTATACGTGCGAGCCAATCGGTTGAAGATGACAATTTTCATCTTGGCAACTCAGCTATACGAGCTTCCGCAAGCTGATGTGCTGGAGTGAAAATGACTTGACACACTGTACGCGAAGGTCGGCGCACCACCGCTGCTTCGCGTGCAGTGTGTCGCAGGCTCTATACTTTTTTTTGCCATAATTTGGCATGTTAAAATAATTGTTTTGACAAAAGTTTTATAAGCAAATCCTCCCTCAAGAAAACCAAAGAGGATTAAATTCTTAAAAGAGGCCCTCTCAAGTCATAAGTAAGGTCTCGTTCACACCTAGGCGTATTGCATATGCGCGTCTGTCGCACGTTTTTTTTACCACGATTCGCGGTAAAAAAAAGTTGCGCGACAAACGCGCGTTTCCGAAGGCTACTTGGCTGTATCCCAATGGAAACGCGCAACAAAATGGCCCAAAGTAGTACATGTACCTTTTCAGGCGTGGGCCGTTTTGTAGCGCGTTAGGGACGGGCGGAAATACGCCAAGGTGGGAACGAGACCATTGAATACAATGGGATTTATATTTTTGAGCGTTTTGTAGAGCGTTCGTCGAGCGTAGAACACGCTACAAAACGTTCAGGTGTGAACGAGGGCTTAAAATCGGCACTCCCCTGCTATAGAAGAGGTGTTTTATAACGGCAGACCGTTTTTCATACCTTCCCTCCGGTTCAAGCACCGAAACCTTCATCAGTCTCTTCAATATTATAAAACTCCAGGGAGTATCAGATCTCTGTGTCCATTGCCTCATACTGCGATTCCTTCTTTTGACCTCTACATCACTACAGGATTCAGCAGTGATGCAGGGGTTTGAGGAAGGCACCGCAGCATGTGGCAGGGAACACAGGAATCCAACACTTCCAGAAGAGACTAATTTGTGGGAACAGATGGGAGGGTAGGAGACACAGGCCATCGGAGAGGTGGTAACAATACCTCTTCTAATGCAGGGGGGTGCTGGTTTGATTTGTTTTAAGATACCCGACAGGGTCTCTTTAATGTGACTAGAATGAATGCATACTCTATTTTAAAACAACATGCATTGGGGGAAAAAAAACATGTAGCAAAAAATAATAATAATGGACAAAACAAATAAAAAAGGGTTATATTTATAAAGTGGATGTGACATTCACCAAAAATGCATTGCAGGTGCATCATCCTAGTAAGTGTGTTTTGTATTACAGTGGTTGATTCACCTGCAGTGAATGTCACGGTTTTATAAATATTCCCCAAAGACTAACTCTACAATTTTAAACATACCACGTACCTTTCACACTATGTTTACCCTTAGGTAATTTTGTTATGTGAGAAGCAGCTTTCAACTCACACCTGGGGGAAAAAAAAAGATGCATAGGTGAATATACAGTGCGAGAATTAAAACATTAAAATAGGAAGACAAAGGCACACAATTTAGTCTGCACGCTAGTGATGTGTCCACTCCAAAAATTACTTTCTATATTCCTCCTTTTGGACAAAGAAGGCAGCCAATCTCAGCCGACAGGGATGTCCACACGAACATGCAAAAAAAAAAAAAAAAGCCAACGCCCTCTCCTCGTGAAATACGTAAGGTTTATTGTTAAAAGAAACGAATATATGCTCCAATTGTGAGTAGTCTTAACTTGTTTCTTTGAACAATAAACCTTACGTATTTCATGAGGAAAGGGCGCTGTTTTTTCCATTAAATAGGAACAAATTGTGCCAAATATATACACATGCAAAACTGCTGTGTAATAGGTTTGTACATAACCGACTTATTCCCAGCATAAGAGGAAAAAATATGAAGTGGATCCGATTAACGCTCTATTTAGAACCTGTGTACATGGGCCTTTTTTCCCCATCAAGACCGCTTCTCAACCCATACAGATAAAAGGGAAAGCAAAAGCCACTTAGGAGGATAAATGCTGGTGAGAAGGTCAGAATTACCCATGGAGATACTCTTGGTTCCAGAAGCATCTCAAGCTGATTTCCAATACAAGCTGGAATCCCCTAAAAGCCTGCTAAACAAAGTTTCACTATGGTTTAGTGTCTATATATACTGCAGAATGTATACCATTTAAAAGCAGAATTATGAGGCGAGTGATTTTCACTCAGCCTCATAATCTGAGCCGACCTGTGACAAAGAAACTGTCACAGGTCGGCTCAGTAGATCAGGAAGTGAGCGAACACATACCGGCGCTCGCTCACTTCTCGATCCTGTGTCGGCAGAGAGCCGTGAAAGGGGAGGGACTGGATTCCCCCCTCTGATCCTCCAGCGCTGACTGACAGAACGGACTGGGGGAGGGGGGCGGGTACAGCTGGCTCTGCCTCTAGATAGGCAAATCCGGTGGATCCAGACATAATTGTCGGGATCCGTTCCGGCTGCGGTGTCTCAGTATACCGAAAGCTGTAGCTCGCGGTATACTGAGCTTTGGGTGACGGGAGGATGCTAGTTTGTGTCCTCCCGTTACCCTTAGGAGAACTATGGGGAAAGGCCCTAACCCCATAGTTCTCCTTTAATATTCACTGGATGCTTCTCCGATATATATATTGCGGATGTCTGAAATGTGATTCTTTAGAAGCATTAGTAAGGGGTGCAGAATTACAGGTAAAGATGCCGATGTTTGTAAGTACATCATTAAAATACAGTTCTGTACAGTTCCTATTCACTGTACGGTGCACCTGGCCAAGTGATTAACCCCTTCGTGACGGGAGACGTACAACTGTACATCCCGCCACAAAGGGACCAAATGACTCGTCACGTACACTGTACGTGACGAGTTATTTGCTGCATTAGAGGGCTGTTAACAGCTGAGAATCACCGGTTACCATTCATTAATGGATGCCTCAGTATAGAGGCATCCATTAATGAAACGGTTAACTTTTCAGACAACCTGATACCTTAATATCGAGTGTCTGAGCGTCAGAGCAGAGCGGGCATGCCGGCATTCTGACAGCTCGTATAGATCTAGAGATATCTCTCTCGATCGTATACTGGCTTTCCCCCCCCAATCCTGAACTGCTGCAGGATCAGTGTCACTAACTTATTATTGGCTGTTCTGAAGTTTGAAGCAGCCTAATAATAACCAAAAATGTATTAATTTATCAAGCAGTAATAGTGAGATTAATTCACAATGACTGCTTGATATAATTAAATAAAAGTTTTAAAGAAATAGTGAAAAGTGTAAAAAAAAAAAAATGTGAAAAGTGTAAAGAAAAAAAAAAGTGTAAAAAAATAAAGGACAAATAAATGAATGTATTTATTGCATTTTTTTTTTTATCTGTGCTGGTTTTGTAAAAAAAATACTACAAATCAAAACTGGGAAACGTTTTTTCCTCTTTTTTTATATTTTATTTGTCCTAAGTGAGGCGTTAGACACACATGTGATATAAATATGTAGCCCGATCTGTCCTCTAAAAAACAACATATAATATGTGTGGGTGCACTTTGTAAGAAAGTATATTACTGACGTGGAAGAATCACACAGCAAAAAGTGTGTCAGTCATTTACGAACAGAAACTAAAAACAAGCTCAGTCATGAAGGGGTTAAAAGGAAGCTATAAAAACGACCCTGCCAGGTCTCTAAAGATAGGAAAAAAACAGTACCCTGCAATAGAAGAGGTAGCATACTCGCTTATCTGGCAGATTGTGTGTCCTGCCTCCCTCTCTGTACCGGTGCTGCAGCCTATCAGCATTCAACACTTCTGGGTGAGTCGGATCCCCCCCTTCACTCAATATGTTCCATCCTGCAACCCTTACATGACTGCTACATCTTGTAGTGATGTAGAGGTTGGAAGATGGACCCAGTGCTCTGTGGGGGGTACACAGCCACTTGACACTCCCATAAGCGGCAAACGATTTAAAGGCTGAGGGAGAAAGTTTTATCAACTCATTTACATATACTGTATATCCCTAGATCTCCAATACCTCTGACAGCAGTACTACTTACATGTTTCCGAGAGCGACTTCTCCCAGTAGGAGCAAACCTGTGGGGTTACTCGGCGTTGTGTGACAGTAGTTTGCACTTTTAGACACCATGTCGGCAAAATAGACGCCTTTACCGAACATGTATCCGGTCTACAACAGAACAACATATGAAAACATTAGCCGCAATACCCAACTTATGACAGCAGAGAATTTCAACAGTAAAAAAAAAAAGTGCACTGAAACGAAAAAAAAATTATGTCAGGCCGAAACTGAAAATGTTTTTTTTTCTAACTCTTTCTAAGTGTCTAGTGTCCAGCTTTAATAAATGAGCAACCATTTATCACTACTCCTTAAAATGCCAACTTACTGGCCGTTATGCCAACCTCTTGGCTTTTTGAATCACTGACCAGAAACAAACATGCAGATACTTATATGCATACATGTTTTCAATTATTGAAATCAGAGAAACCGGGTGAGAGTAAGGCAGCTAGAAGAGCTCAGTTGGTTTTCTTTACCTCTAGTCAGTTCTGACATTACTGGGCAGATTTGCAGCATTTTGTGGCAAGACTGCAATATCTTGTTCCCATCCCTTACAATGTATAGTGAAGTTATGAATACTTACAACAGGTGCTTCAGGAGGGGCAATCCGCAGACCTTGAGACAAGATTCCAGCAAAGTTTGTGGTTCGGGATCCGTGCCAGAGCAGCTGACGGTTGTTTAGCTGTTTGAATGGCTTATACCTCTGTTTCTCCCCTTCTCTCTCAATCTTGAAGATCTGTTAAAAGTTTAAAGAGGGTTTAGATTTTGTGTCTTGATCACTTGTCATTGCCAGACAGAATATGGTGGTCAAGCATCCCTGTCAATCTGCCAAATGTCACACTGCAGATTATTCACCTTACCAACTGCTCGCTGGCAACTTCCCTTCTCTACCAAACACTCCACTGGCTCCCACTTGCCCAACAAATTTAAAGAAATACTTGCATATAATACAAATCTATCCACATCTCTGTCCTGGGCTACATTACCAACCTCCTCTCAAAATATCACCCAAACTATCCACTCTGCTTACCCCCAGGACTTCTCCAGAGCCTCTCCCATTCTCTCAAACTCCACACTCCCATCTCCTACTCAGTCTGGTTAATTCAGGTACCTTAACTATTAACAGAAATGTATCTTATTTGTTATCACTCGGCTGTAGATCCTCAAATCATCTGACCCTGTCCTTCCTTCTGGAGGGTGACTACTTTTGCTCCCCATGGTCCCTGTGTGTGTTGTAAAGTAGCCACCGCTCCAAGCTCGCTCCTGTGATGGACAACAATGCAAACTAGTAAACTAAACCTGAGATTGTAGTCCTTCACGGTAGTGAACTTGGAGCGGTGACTACTTTACAACACACACATTGACCATGGGGAACAAAAGTAGCCACACTCCAGAAGGAAGGACAGTGTCAGCACCAATTCAGAGATGATTTGAGGACCTACAGCCGAGTGATAAAGAAATTGGATCCAATTTTGTTGATAGTTAAGGTACTTAAAAACGTATTTTTAAGATTTAACTGCCGAGTTTAGTGTCACTTTAAGATGAACTTTAAAAACTAATCTCTTCAGGAAAGGCAATCCCATCTCTACGTCAAACTGTACTTTTGCTTTCTCCATCTGCTCTTCTGTCACAATTATTGTCTTTTGCATCACTTTCCCATCCCCTATAAATTGTAAGCTCTCATAAGACACAAAATACTTACCACATACAAATAAACGTTTTGACCAAATGCAACGTTACATTAAAGCCACTTACATCAAGGATCTCAAGATCATAGGCATTGTGTGTATCCGCATGTGTGTTCTTAACATATTGATGGATTATCTTGGCTTCTTCAGAGTCCTTATCTACAACCTAGAACGAGAGAGAGAACGAGAGAGAGAGAGGAGAGAGAACGAGAGAGAGAGAGAGAGGAGAGAGAGAGGAGAGAGAGAGAGGAGAGAGAGGAGAGAGAACGAGAGAGAGAGAGAACAAATTACATCCAATTTTCAGGAACGTTTAAAAAAAAAACAACAAAACTGATAAGCAGGGCCTGACACTACAAAGTAACTGAGGCGATCGCCAAGTACACATGTATGTTGCATGTCAAGCTTATTTTGCGATTTATAAAAATCTTGTTCAATGGAAGAAAAGGTTAAAAAATGCTTTCAAAAATAGTCAATGTTCTGGGCTGTTGTGAGGGCTCTTTTCTTACGTTAATAACAGTCTTAATCTTCTCATACTTGACATCAATGGGATCCTTCTCTGAATCTTCTGTACCACCCCTCAGAAGACTGTAAGCGACCTCTATATCTAGCAGATTATCCAGCATCTGCACCTTTGCCTGAAACCCAGGAAAACACAAATGTTTGCATCCTGATGAAAACAATGAAGCATTCCAGAAATAATCTCCCAATTGAGGCTAAAGATATAACTGATACAGTTCTCAATAAGGCTATACAATCTGTCCACAGACCTGGATGTATTCTACGTTATCCAAGAGACGGGGCTTCTTCATTCCAAAATCATGAGGTATTAACGTGTAGAAGCGATTGGACAGATCCAGCAAGCGAGCTTCAGGAGAGCTATCAGATACAGCCTAGAACACACCACAAATAGTTAGGATTTAAAACTGCATCTCTCAAATTCCCATCATGCCAGGTAATCGTAGAACATTATTTTGACTCACCTGCTGTACCTCATTCAGGATAGAGTATGCACTCTGAATCTGTCGCTTACTAAGTTTGCCTAGAGGCATCTTCTGTAGATCAATCTACAAATCATAAGGAACAATACGTCATATCATTAGCTTAGTAACCTTTCCCTCTCCCACCTCCCGGAAATTTGATTGGCAGGGATGCAGGGCCCACGCTATCTCGGATGCCGAGTACAGATTTTAAAAAACGGTATCGGTGCATTCCTAATTTTTTCATTTGGCGGAGGTCTTTGACCAGCTAGATTTTCTCCCCAATACTTAGAGCCGGTGTGGGACATTGCAGCTGTCACACGCCGACTCTATATACTGAATGATGAGCGATCAGGTAATTGCTGATCGCTCAGCTCACAGTCTCCTCCCCACGGAGAGCAATGGCCGACAGTCACCGCTCCCTGCAGTGATTCCCCTTCCCCTTTCCTTAAGAACTCATTTGAGGCACAGACAGGGGAAGGGGCGGGCACAGCTGGCTCTGGACCTAGACAGGCACAGCCAGCTGTCAATCATGTGTTACCCAATATTATTGTCGGGATCCTCCCCGGCTGAATCAAAGCTATGCGCTTTCAGCAGATATCCAATCGTGGGTCACAGGAGTACATTAGTAAATATACACATATGACCATAAAGAGAAGTAATACCAAAAACAAGATTTGGCTTTACGTCTCTTCTAAGGACACTACCATTGCTAATTTCAGGGTAAATACTTTTTGCCTTTAATGTGTGAAATAAAGATGTACCATAAAAGTATAACTTAAAAAAACAACTATGGGATAAGTGTTTTCCCCCCCTAGTTCTCTTTAGGTTCACGGGAAGATATATACTAACCTATTGCCCATTATATACTGAGAGCGCCACAGGCGGGACGGATCCCGACAATATTGTTGAGATCCACCCAGCTACATGCGTGACATCGGGCTCTGCCTATCTAGAGGCAGAGCCAGCTGTGCTCGCCGCTTCCACCGTTCGGTTCCTCCACTCAGCGCTGGAGGATCGGAGAGGGGGGAGGGAGGGAATCCCTGCGGGGAGCCGTGAATGACGGGCATCACTCTCTGCAGGGAGATGATAGGAAGTGAGCGGATTGGCTGCATGTTTCTGCTCACTTCCCTATCAACAGAGCCGACCTGTTCTCTTGCTGTCTGGTTCCCAGCTGAGGTATTCCTTTATGAGAGCCGTCACTGAGACAGAAACTGGATGGAAGCTACCCTATAGGCTATTCTCCACTGAATGTGCCCTCAATGAGGAGATCTCCACTCATTTCCTGTTTAAGCAACTCACTTATGCTGCAACATGTAGTAAGAAAAAGTCCACCCAAAAGAGGACAGACAGCAATCACCAGACATGTTCTTTTTGAAACAAAGGGAAACATTTCAGCTGCAGATAAATGTACTAGAAAAATATGTCAAATGTCACAGGAATAATCAAATATATTCCAATATAAGCCAATGCATCGCACAATCCATGGGCATGAAGCTATTATAAAATACTAGTGCGTATGGAGGTAAGAACGGGCATATATAAAAGCATAGGATACATTGCTGTGACATTTAGGGTCATAATCTTAAACACGAAAACAGGTAATGATCTTCAAAATATATGGCCAAGAACCTTGCAATGCATTTTGCTGAACTGGAGTCGTTTTTTGTTTCTTTCAAAGTAAACTAAGGCTTCATTTTACCTACATCAGATAAAGAGAACCCACCTCAAACTCCACCATGGCTTTTTTCATGCTCTCCACATCAAATATCATTTTAATGAGTTCTTGTATTGGCTTTGCAAGTTTGGACTTTGTTCCCGCTCCAGCTGAAAGCTTCTTCACCACATCCTCTTCCTGACACAAGAAACAAGAAAAGCAATACAAAATGCTAAGAAAGGAGATCTGGATTTAAAATGATTATGCACAGAAGCAAAATGGATCATCACCTTAAATTCTAAAACTAGGGATTCACACATCTCTCCATCTACACACAGGGCTTGAAAAATGTGATGGTGTCCCACCAGTCAGTCAAAAATGTCACCAGTCAGCATGACGGGACTATAGCCCTGCAATTTATGTTAAAATTTTTTGGGGACAGATAGAGCTTTTTTTTGGTGGTATATAAAATCACCACGGGGAGGGGGGGGGTTATTTTTTTTATTATATAATGAAAAAAGTACAGTAAATTTTTAAAAAAAATACGTTTCCCTACGTTATGTTATAAAACATCTATTCTTAACCATATTTTTGGTAAAACATAAAAGACGGGGTCACGTCGGGTAAATAGACACCAAACATGTTAAGCCTTAAAATTGCAAAAAACGACCACACTAAAAATTGGCCATAGGCGACGCTTAAAATGCTTTTACCGCTCATCAGTAATTAATGGCCCTAAAATGATTGCTCACGTTCGCAGTTATATGCAACATGTGCGGGACAACAGGCGCAATTGTTGTTATTGCCGGTAGGCTCACCCAACGCATATCTGCGTGTGTATGTGGGGGGCGGAGGACTTTAAAAAAATTTCATTTTTTTAAATGCTTCTTTATTTTTTTTATGATTCTTTCATTTTTGTATTACTAGCCCCCCTATGTGATAGCCAATTTACATGACAGGTCCTCTTTATGGAGACATCAGGGGTCTCCAAGACCCCTAATGTCACCTAGGCACCCCCAGAGAAGCTGATGAAGCACAGATCTGCTTCATCAGCTTCTGTAGCTGGAAAGTGACACTGAATGCAGGAAGTGATGTAATATACATCACTTCCTGCATTCAGGGACTGTAGAGTAGAGCAAAGGGAGTTTGTATACTGAACTCCCTTTGATCTCCTGTCACATAGCCGTGCCGGTCCCAGCCGCATCGGGCACAGCGGATCTCGGGACTGGCAACGGCAGTGACAGCTGCTGGTAATACAAGCGATCGGGCGTCTTGAGACGCTCGATCGCTTGAATGTAAAGCTCCCGGCCAGCCGTGTAATTACAATGGCCAGCCGGGAAGCTGCTGGTCGGGATGAGTGGATTTTTAAACCCCTGTATATGTGAAGGAATATGGATCATATCAAGAAAATGTCCTTTTCTATGTTTTAAATTGTTTTGAATTTGTTTCATTTGCTTCCTAGCTTTGTGACTTTCCTTACTCAGCTTTTAGCATTGCTATGCGTAACCAAGAGAGATATCCTGTATTCGGGAGTGCGCCGATGACACATGAAAGGAATGCCGAGGGAATATAGATATCTATATAGATATAGATATCTATATAGATATAGATATCTATATAGATATATATAAAGTAACCTTGGAGAATAAGTGAGTCTGTTAGACAGAATATGGCCAACTGAATGCCTACCACCACCCCCTGCTGAAGATCTAATACAAAGTAAGGCGCGGCAAGCATTGTTGAGACATAATGCATGTGTATGTTACGACGTCACCAACAGGCCCGGAAGGTGGGATTAACAGAGACTGGAGAAACGTGGCGTTCAGAAGACCAGTGGCAAGGGGGAATCTGCTCTTTTTTCCTCCCGGCTTCGAGCCCCTTTAAGAGGTGGGACGTTACTACCCACAAACTCACGCCAGGTATTTCTACAACATGCTACCTTACATTTGTTTTTGGTCGGATATGTCTATGGGTATTTCAAAGTTTCACAATTCTCTCATAGCAGAGGTGGAACATGACATTTTAGGTTCTAGTATTTTTTTTTAAACAGTTATGTTTTAAATCACATGGATTTCCATAAAATAGAGTGCCCTTAAATCGGACGTACAGTCTGAGACTAGGGCTTCTGTTCCACCTGTCCCTGTCAACTAACTGATTATCTGTTTCTAAAGAGACCTTGTCATGCCCTGTATCTTGACTGATGTGCTTGTCTATGTATGTATAGGTTTTGTTGTTCTATGCCTTTTTGTTTTTTTACAATAAACATTCTTTTGGATAAAAAACAAAAACTAGAATGCACTTGCCTAGATCTACAAAAAAATGTCCGCAGCAATGTACTATTCATTATAAGCTCTATAATTTATGAAATGTGCAGTGTATGATACTGAGACCCAAGACTGCTTCCAGGTAGTGCCACCTTTCTTACTACCCTGTGCCCAAATATAAAATACCCGGACATCCGGAATTCCTAGCTAAAGCACGCACACATTTCTGTGTATAAAGAAAAAAATCTGGGGACATCAATACAAATAATTATCTGACAGGAAGTAAGGCCTCATTCACACTAAGAGCCGGCCCGTACAGATCTGTGCGTCATGCACGGCTGTATCCGGCCGAGGACAGGTGTTGCGTGTGATTCCACGCAGCAGCCTGTTCTTCTCTATGGGTGGAGGCAGCCGTACGCTCACCCAAACTGCACATCCGCGAGGGGACGGGTGTCCGCACTCGTATGCAGACAGGATGGATCGCGTGTCTGAGCAAGGACACCCACACAGATGTGCAGTTTGGGTGTACGTACGGCCGCGTACTCCCATAGAGGAGAGGCTGCTGCTTGTAATCACACACAGCACCTGTCCTTCCCAGGAGCGGCCCGATACGGCCATGCACACCGCACGGATCTGTACGGGCTGGCTCTTATCAGTGTGAGTAAGGCCTAAGAGTCAGGGCAGAAGTCCCATTGCTTTGCAGGCTCCAGAGGTTTATACTCGGGGCTTCATTTATAGCAGAAAGCAGACACCGAAATCCTGTGGACACCATATAGTGTTTACTCCACATGGTGCACTGCATATCAGGTGCAATCCAAAAAATGCAGGTTGTGTAGTGGAACATGTGATGACTCAAAGAGTTCTCTTCATGCCTATCTGACAATTTTGAAAGATCGCATGGTCAAGCTCTCTTTATTTCATTAATCGCAATGAATGCAATGCTGCTGTTTTATGAATGGGGCTCTTGGTACAAAAATCTACATCTATCCAGGATGTTAGACTTGCTGGTGTGTTGCACTGAACAAGTACTTAGTGCTTATAACTTCTGTTATGCCACTTTGAACACTTACCTGGCCGTAGTCTATTTCCAGTGGGTAGAACTTATTGGGATATTTGGTGAAGTTGGTGGAGTGCCAGGCATTGCCAGTCTTCTCTTGATACAGGTTAAGGAAATGGTCAATGGCTTCCTCTTTGGAAGACATTTCCTCCAGTTTGTTACTGCCTATAACTGTTCCGACTCGGCCCCAGGACCGGAAGACCCAGTACCTGTAAAATCAAGAGGAGAACACAGGGTTTATCCACACACCTATGAAAGTAATATGGAAGTATACCTCACATAAAACCATGAGCGACATTGTACCATAAAACAGCAACACCAGATAATGCGGTTATTGGTTAAAATGTTTTTTATTAAAAAAGTATTTTTAAAGGCAACTTAAATAACTGAATTTGACTTATCAGCCTCTTATCCTCTCTGTACAGGAGAACTCCGAGCCACTATGAGCCAATTAGGTGCACGCATTATCCAAATGTGCTGACCCACCTCTACCTGTTAAAATTACTAATCATTTTAGCTTATTTTTACAACCTAAAAATTGCCTTCAAAAGTAAAGATAACCTGAGGGAAATATAGGGACATCATTGCGGTTCCCTGGTCACAGGAAACTGCAATGCCAAATGAGAGAAACTGGCTCGATGGCCTTGATCTACACTAAACCGGAGGAATCTTCCTTGATGGCTATTGTAGTCAGACAGCTGCAACACTCACAGTTTGTTGTATACCCGAACAATAACCATCTGCTAAAATGCAGCCACTGTTCAATCTTTATATTGCGTTTGAGTGCACTAAAAAGAGACAAAGTGCAGATTTTTTTTTAATTCTACATGGTCTCTGAGGTTTTTTTTTTTTTTAATAAGAGTTACCACTACCTGAAGAGTCTACTGCATCAGACACAATCGCTGGGTGTTGGAAACCTGGTCCCCCACATGCTGTGGTTTGATATGCCAGCCCCTACATTACTGTGTCCGGTAATAATGTAGGGGCAGGCGGATTGAACCACATACTGCAGAAGGGGACCAGAAATCTGACACTCTTCAATGAAGCTGAGATCGCCAGAGCTGGCAGATAAGTATTAAAACG